TCAGGTTCTTATTATAAATGTTTTGAGGATGAACTTTTACAACCTTTACAAAACACAATGATGATCCCTCCAACAGGAAGGAAAGATGCCACAGAGTTGGAAAGAGGCCAGTATAGCACTAATACCTAAAGAGGGACAAGATTTGACTTTAACAAGAAACTATAGGCCAATAACATTATTGAATAATTATTACAAGTTGTTTACAACGATTCTAGCTGATAGACTGAAAATAATTTTGCAAGAATTTATTCATGAGAATCAATGCAGGTTTTTACCTTAAAGTCAGTTAAAGGACAATGTTACAAATCTGTTGGACATTTTGGAATGTTTGGAGCAACATAATGAAAAATAAGCTACATTGATTTTCTTAGATGCAGAGAAGGCCTTTGACAAATTTAACTGAGCTTTCTTGTTCAAAATTTTGGAAGATATGAATTTTGGAGAGAACTTTAGAAAATGTGTAGGATTGATTTATACTTCACAGAAAGCACAAATAATTGTTAATGGAGATCTAACAAAGCCTTGTGATATACAAAAAGGAACAAAACAACCCTCTCTTGTTTATTTCAGTTCTTGAAATACTGAATATTGATATAAGACAAGATGAGAGGATTGTGGGAGTAAAGATTAAAAAAGAAACTTATAAGTTTCTTTTTTAAACTTTACTCCCCCCACCCTCTCCTTTTTTTTTTAGTTTTTTTAATAATGGAAATTTTTATAAGACAAGATGAGAGGATTGTGGGAGTAAAGATTAAAAAAGAAACTTATAAGTTAAGGGCTTTTGCAGATGACTTGGTGTTGGTCCTAGAAGATCCTTTAAAAGGAATTGAAACATTAATGGGAAAACTAAAAGAATTTGGTGCATTAGCAGATTTTAAGATCAATAAACAGAAGATGAAGATGTTAGCAAAAAACATGAAAATAGAAGATCAAACAGAATTGATGAATAAAATGGGCTTTAAGGTTGAGAAGAAGGTGAAATATTTGGGTATCACTATGAAAAATATGAATTGTATGTTACAGTGGTACCTCGGGATACAAACGCCTATACTAACAAACTTTTTGGGTTACGACCAGCTCTGGCCACAAAAATTTACCTTGATGTGCGAACTCCGCCTCGGGGTATGGTCATTTTTCCGCCCTGACATGTGGTCCGCGGCCATTTTTCCACCCCTGACACGTGGT